CCTAGGATCTGAAACAAAGCATTCGTGTATTTTTCATACGAATGGTAGATGCCGGTCTGGGAGGTAAAATACCACATCATTGAATAGCAGGGTGGTCCGGTGTTCGGTAGTTTGTATTCGTATTTGTGTCTGCTGAGTCCCTACCGCATGGATTGCACAAATAGACGAATACTGGCAACAAAAGTCCCGATTGTGCTACAATTATCCACATAAACCAGGTAAGCATTTTCCCTTTTATCATTAGTCTCGGTTAGTGCTAAATATTTCCAGGCAGAAAGTAAAGTTCTGTTACAGGTGTATACCTTCAGGCCTTGGAGCTTTGTTTATATTAACTTTCTTTAATTGCTGCAACACCTTGTCTTGAAACATTCAATCACAATTTTTCTGCAAGGTCTTTTGCAGTAATCATTTACATACCTCTTGCCATATTAGATCCTCCTTAACATGTACTGAGGAAAAAAGTTAGTTAAAGTTCATGCCTTTTTCTTCATTAACTAAAACTGCACACTTTTATTTTTTGTTTTTTTAGAATTTATGTACTTACAAAATGTGTTGGAGCTAGTTTTTCTCTCTTTCTCTCACTTGTGATCACTTTCTAATTTTCTAGTTTAGCCTCTCTAATTTCCTTTTTGCATGCATTTTTGGAGGATGCCTCTGATTTGTCCGACATAATTGGTTTAAATGCCCTTATCTTAGTTTTAATCTCTTGGTCTACTTTCCCGGTAAGCCATATTGTGTCATGGTGCCCGATTGGCACCTCGGTATGACTGCACCTTAGTGCAGTCACGCCGGCACGTTGCCCGATCGGCACCACGATGTGACCGCATCTGATCAGTTTGGTCACACTAAAGGAGGTTACTCACCTTGCCTCCACCGCCTCTCCCTCTGCACCACTCCTAGGATAGAGGCCGGGTCCAGGTTTAGGAAGAAAGTTGGTCACTGCAAAGTGGCACTATATAATCCCGCCTCCCACACTGACGTCATTAGTGACGTGAATGTGCGTGCGGTGACACATTTTTGCTGTGACATGGGACCCAAATTAGCAAATAGCAAGGTTTACTGGATTATTTAAACCCAAACCTGCAGATGTTCAGTGCCCTGTAGTGGTTTCCATTCTATTGGTTATCCGAGGGGGGAGTTCCTATTACTTTTTTTGGTTATTGATGTTAGCTTGACTTGACTTTCCATAATTCTGGTATCCCTGACCCTTTGGCTTTGTTTATTCCATATTTGTTCCTTTCTGTATTCCTGGCCTTGGCTCGTTACTGATTATTCTATTACGTTAAATCCAGCCATTCTAAGGCCCAGTAATATGTTGTTACTGTTTGTTATTTTGTCTGTGTTTAACTTAGTTATGCGTGTTGGACCACTGGTTCGTCCTGACATTTCGACAGGGCCATGACCCTGCAGAGTTAAGTTAACACATGTTGGCTTGTGAAAGAAGGCTGGAAGAAAATGATAATCGTATTGATCAATTCGCCCAGGCCTTTCAGACCTTGTTGGCCCTTACTGCTCACCTCCAACGACCTCAACCAGCCCCTCCATGCTGTACTCATAGTATACAAGGTCCCATCTATATCCCTCTCACCACACCTTTATTTCAGTGGTGATGCTCAGGAATGCCGTGGTTTTCTTAACCAAATCGAGTATCACTTTGAGGCCTCTCCCGACTCCTTTCCTTCAGATAGATCCAAAATTGGTTATATGATGAATCAGTTGAAAGGGAGGGTATTAACCTTGGCAATTCTTTATGGGAGAGCACCAAGTTTATCGCCTATGAATATACAGAATTCCTAGCAGAATTCAAACTAACGTTTGAGCTTTTAGGTAAGGAAAAGAATGCAGCAAAAGCACTCATGAGCGTAAAACAGGGCAATCGCTCTGTTGCTGATTATGCCATTGAGTTTCATACCCTTGCCTCAGAGGTGGATTGGACTAACAGTGGCCTCGTCTCCACTTTCGCTGAAGGCCTGTCAGATACCATTCTAGATGAGGTTGCTGCCAGGGACCTGCCAAAAAACCTCAACGAATATATAACTTATATGATGAAAATAGATAACAGGCTAAGAGAAAAGGAGAGGATCAATAACAGACTCAGAAGAAATAGCCCTTTTCTTGTGCCCCTGCTTTTCCAACCCTGTTATTGAAGCTGTCGATCCTGAACCTATGCAGTTAGGGGTTATGAGGTTATCTGAAGCAGAAAGACAGTTCAGGTGGAGAGAGGGTCTGTGTATGTATTGTGGTAAGAAGGGACATATGAGGGTTAATTGTCCGATATGTCCAGACAACTCACACACCTAAGTACTGTTAGGGGTCTGGCCTTAGATGTTATGTATATGTCCCCCACTATGCTTTTTTCGATACTTCTCCTTTCTGTTACCATTCTGTTACACAACCTTGAGGTCAATTGCAAAGCCCTATTAGATTCAGGAGCAGCAGAACGTTTCAAAAATGCTTACTTTGTGTCCACACATAATATATCTGTGCAGGAGAGGTCAACACCTTTGGCCGTTGAGCCCATAGATCAGGTACATACTACCATAGCTGGTGCTGCTTCACATATTAAGCTATATGCTGATGAAAGACAAAGTACTGTACCTTCTTATCAAGTAGGGGACATGGTTTGGCTGTCTACTAAACATATTAGACTCAGGGTGCCCTCTATGAGTTTCACTCCTTTTTGTGTGTCACGTTAGATCTATCTGGTGTCTTATGTCATTCACCTCCCTGCCAACCTTCGTATACCTCGTACATTTCATATTTCTCTATTAAAGACACTTATCTGTAATAGATACACTACTCCTTCCGCATTTCCTCCTCCCTTGGTGGTAGCAGGTCAGGAGGAGTATGAAGTCCGCTCTGTTTTGGACTCCAGGACTTCTGTGGTCTTTGTAGTATCAGGTGGATTGGAAGGGTTATGGTTCCGAGGAACTCTCCTCGGTCCCTGCTGTTGATGTTCATGGTGGATGCCTTCTTTGCTCTTTCCATTCCCAATTTCCTGGTAAGCCTGCCACTGTCAAGGTGCTTGATTGGCACCTCGGTGTGACCGCACCTGATCAGTGCAGTCCCCCCCGGACACGGTGCCCGATTGGCACCGCGATGTGACCGCATCTTATTGGTGCGGTCACAGTAAAAGAGGGTGCAACTACTCACCTTGCCAGCCACTGCCCACAATTATGTTACTATTTATTTATTACTGGTATTTATAAAGCGCCAACAGATTCCGCAGTGCTGTACAATTAGTGGAGAACTGCCTGTTGTGGTTTAAATTCAGCAGACAGCAATGTTTTCTCTCAGGTATGAAGACAAGGAATGGACACAGCAGAAATACGAGCTCGGAGGGCAGTACTCATTCACACAAGTGTATGGCAGAATACTACACCTAATTTTAATGGGGAGAACACAGATCTTATAACAAAATTCTATACACATCCAAAAGGGGTTGTCTTCACATAATACAGTCATGTCCTGTCAATTGCATATTAAAAGAACTTAAAGCACATTTGGCATTAGCTGGTCAAAGGGTGTTACTTGATTAAACAAACACTTCCCAACAAGGTGTTATCAGGATATGCAGTGCAGGGGGGAAATAAGAAGAAGATACAAATCAGGATCAAAGGCCAGCTGTTATAATAGAGCATCCTGACATTACTCAATCAACTGTGTAGTGTGACACAGGAAAGGTGCTCATTAATCCATATCATTCCAATCTTTTATTCTGAAAGAATAACATATCAGTAAATTAATTGATTGTCTATTATAGCACTCAGGGAAGAAAAAAAACTTCAGAACCGTTATTTCTGAAGAAAATCTCCGGGGAGCCATGGCTATAATAAGACCGTCCCTCCCTCCTGGACGAATTAAGGTTTATTAAACAATTATTTAAATTTAGGGCTTGGTATAAATTCTGTACAGATCCAATAAAATGATTGTCTGTTTCCCATGATGAAGAAGATAAAGCCTGCTTAGAGTGAAATATATTAATAACATATTTTACTATCACTGTTCTTTGGGATCAAATAATATTAATCCGCACATAACCAAGTCCCATGGAAAAAAGAATAATTAGGGTGCACCGAGCACTATTGTTCATTCTGGATCAGTCTGAGGTTGAACGTTCTTTGCTTGGAATATCCAGACTGCTTGATGGGACATCTTTTTAATCTGCTTGCATGAATCCACTTCTGGTTCTCCTCGGTCAGAACGGCTCTTCTGGTGATGGCAACAACGGTTGTCAGAGGGCTGTATGGTGGATCAGAGGTTCCGGATTTGAAGAAGGTCTTCACCAAGACTTTGTCTCCAGGCCTGAAAGGATGTGTGGTTGTACCTGAAGGATGAGGAAGAGATAGAGACAAATCACCATAGATGCCATTCAATTTTTCTACAAGGTTCAATACATATAACACAACATTTAGGTCTCCGCTCACCATCGGAGCACCTTTGGACTTACATCATGTAGTTGGAAAAGGTCTCCCCATTAAAATTTTAAATGGTGAATAACCCGTAGTGGAACTACGGGTCATTCTGATCTCAGCTAAAACTGCTGGCCAATTGTCTGGCCAATTGCGTGTGCTAACCAAGCCTCCTTTTGTCAATTTCTCCTTGATCATTCTATTTATCTTTTCTACTTGCCCTGATGACTGAGGGTGATAGGGTATATGAAATTTTCAATCCATACTCAACATTTCACAAACCTGCTGTGTAACTGCTGAAGTGAAAGAAGTTCCTTTATTACTATTAATCATAACTGGGCAGCCAAAACATGTCTACAATACAAGTAAATACTTAAGTCCACCTTTTTGCCACTGTCATATGCATGAAGTCAGTTTGTAAATTTAACATTGGACCTTCCACTGGAGGTAACTGTGGTATGGTAGTATTAACTCTTGCACATGTTAAGCACCTGGATAAAAATATTGGTAACTGTCTGATCTAACCTGTTAATTACAAATAGTTAATTTAGCATAGCCAATACCCCTCTTCGTCCGACATGTCCATAGCCATGGAACTGTCGGACGAGTAACACAGAAAAAGCTTGAGGGATTGCTATGCAACCTTTATGATCCTCGAGGATACCAGAATTTGCATCAGGTGAAACAGAATGTTTACTCCAGTGAGCTAAGTCATCCGAAGATGATGCAGCCTGCATAGAAAGAATATCAGTATCATCAGTATGAGTGGCTATATGCAGTTAAGACCTGGTCACAAGAAACAGTACTGTAATCTGGCCATAAGGGAAAAGAGGCAGCCGCCCTTTTCGCCACCAAATCTGCAAAATCATTACCATCCTTGACCATGGAGTGATCTGTATCATAGCCCTTGCACTTCACAATAGCTAAAGATGTAGGTAACAGTATGGCCCTCAATAATCCATCAATTAATGCAAAATGAGAAACAGTTCGACCATCAGCTGCAACAAAGCCTCTAGTCTGCCAAATGACACCAAAATCATGAACCACTCCAAAGGCATATCTCAAATCAGTATAAATAGTCACATCTTGATCTTTAAAAGCAATACAAGCTTGTGTAAGAGCAATCAACTCCGCCTGCGCTGAGACAAAAGGTTAAGAACCTGCAGTTATTACAATATTAGGTATTTGTACAACTGCAAAACCACAAAGGAAAATAAACCAATAACTGATTTCAAAACTCTGACACAAAATCTTGCTCAGCCCAGAAATACACAGAACCAACCTACATCAGTACCAGGTCTATCATGTTTAGTGTCCAAATTAAGAGCCATTTCTGTTGGTGAAATATCAGCATATTTAAAAACAACAGACAATAAAAAAAACCAAAATCTGCCCCTCCAAACTGTTGATCCATTGTTACTCTTTTTAAATAATTAATAGCCCCTTCTGGAAGCTTAAACGGATCAGGACACTGAGTCCCAAGAGACACCAATTGTGATCCATAGGGAGGCTTAATTACAACAGTCTCACCAGCAACTACAAAAGGATAGGTAGAAGCAGACACATGACTGGGAACTAGTACACCATGACTCTTATAACCCTCATCCACCACTAAAACACTATCAACATGCTTACTCCCTGCACCAACATCCACAGACTTTCTAGTCACTTTCTCATTTTTCATACCAACATCAACATTTTCTGCAGTGGATCTCACCATTGCAGAAGAATTCACAACCATCTATCCAACATGCCTTTTCCCTCTACCAATCGCCATAAAAATGTCATCACTATCAATATTCCGAAAAATCTTTTTTTTTAATTCATCCAAACTGGGATATAATGGTACAACAAAAAGCACATAAGCAGGAGGTGCTGCAGAGGCCTGAACATACTTTGTAGTCTGATCAGGAACAAACCATAACTGAGCACACTTTAACCATCCTGTAGCTGCATTATGCATATACTTTTTATCCCATTTTGGATCTCCACCTGGACCCCACTTTTTAAAACCTTTAATACACATACCTTGCAGAATTTGCAAATGAAAATCACTAAAAGAACCCTCTCTTGGCCATGGATTACAAATCATTGTATCAAAATTCTCTGACCATACAACTAAATTTGTACAAAATGGCTCAGCATAGTAATCTCCAATAGTTTCTTGAACAAACTGGCATGGAGTTTGCCCTAATCAAGGACCCTGAGAGTTGACTTGGGGAGTACGTGACGCAGCACTATTAGGGACATCTTTAGATGATTTAAATTTTACAGAATTTTGTTGGGAATTTTTTTTTTTTTTAAACCATTACTGGAGCCCATTTCCAACTTCACACAGATAACACTTTACGATATATAACACTTTATATATAAGCAATGCACACTTTTTTTAAACAATACAACTATACATGCAGCGCTGCAATAAACAAAAATAAGATTTATTCTACTGTGTCCAAACTGTGCATCCAATATAGTGACTAAATGTGGTCACTCAGTGGGACTGCTATACCCACTATGTACAACTTACCGGTAAGATGGGACTCTAACCCATAAAATATAGATTTTTTCTTATACAACTTAACATGGGACTCTAACCCAAACTTAACATGGGACTCTAACCCAAACTTAACATGGGACTCTAACCCATACTTAACATGGGACTCTAACCCATACTTATCATGGGACTCTAACCCATACTTATCATGGGACTCTAACCGAAACTTAACATGGGACTCTAACCCAAACTTAACATGGGACTCTAACCCAAACTTAACATGGGACTTTAACCCAAACTTAATATGGGACTCTTAACCCAAACTTAACATGGGACTCTAACCCAAACTTTATATGGGACTCTAACCCAAACTTAATATGGGACTCTAACCCAAACTTATCATGGGACTCTAACCCATACTTATCATGGGACTCTAACCCATACTTATAACAAAAACAAAAAGAAAGGCAAAACAAAAACAAGAAAGCATTACTTTTCTGCAACCACAAAATTTTGTTCAGAGAGTCCAAACAGGGCAAAGAACACAAAAATAAAACACAAAATGTTCTTACCCGATTTGGATTCTCTCTCCACTTCTGACACCATATTGTTGTGGTTTAAATTCAGCAGACAGCAATGTTTTCTCTCAGGTATGAAGACAAGGAATGGACACAGCAGAAATACGAGCTCGGAGGGCAGTACTCATTCACACAAGTGTATGGCAGAATACTACACCTAATTTTAATGGGGAAAACACAGATCTTATAACAAAATTCTATACACATCCAAAAAGGGGTTGTCTTCACATAATACAGTCATGTCCTGTCAATTGCATATTAAAAGAACTTAAAGCACATTTGGCATTAGCTGGTCAAAGGGTGTTACTTGATTAAACAAACACTTCCCAACAAGGTGTTATCAGGATATGCAGTGCAGGGGGGAAATAAGAAGAAGATACAAATCAGGATCAAAGGCCAGCTGTTATAATAGAGCATCCTGACATTACTCAATCAACTGTGTAGTGTGACACAGGAATATCACTGCCCGTAAGCTGAGATCTAGCCATTTAAGCTCTTTTATACAAAGTGCATAGCTAGATTGTCCATGAGCTTAGAATCTAAAGGATACCCTGGGAGGTAGGAGAGGAAATTTGGAAGTGATGGCTAAATAAGTAAACAGAGAGTTGCAGCTATTGGTGGAGTATAGAGGGAATTAAGAGGTAAATGAGAGAGAATTTTAAATAGCTGGAGGAGCATACTTTAAATTTAGAGTGAACCTGGGAGGCGGGTTGAACCAAGTAGAATTGTAGAGGCTTGCAGCAAAGTTGGTATGGGAAGTGGGCCTAGGGAGGGAGCAGAGATAAACAGTTATATCAAGGTATTTACAGCTAGGAATGGCAAGCATGGGGGGAGGAGTAGGAGGGGACAAGAAACAGTTGTGATTTCCAATTTAGAATCAAATCCTAACAGCCAGATTACTAATTAATACATGTAGCTGCAAGTACAAGATACTACAGTAGTACACTATACTAGTGATGTGAACATCACATTTTCGCCATGCACGCACGTTCTGTGCTCATGGGACCCAAATTAGCAAATAGCAGGGTTTACTGGTTATTTAAACCCAAACCTTCAGATGTTCAGTGGCCAGCATGGTTTCCATACCATTGGTTATCTGAGAGCACATTCCTGTTACTGTTTTTTGGTTATTGATCTTGGCTTGGCTTGACTTTCCGTAATTCTGGTATTCCTGACTTTTTGGCTTTGTTTATTCCATATTTGTTCCTTTCTGTATTGTGACGAGACCAATCTCGCCACATTGCATTGGAGAAGCCTGGTTGCTCGCCTGCTGCCTTTGGACTATGGCCCCCTTTTAAAAGACTTTATTTTTGCCTGCAGAAAAGCTGTATTAATGCTTTTCTGCCTGGGGTTCAGTAGATTTGTTTGAATGTGTTATACCCCAGATAGGAATCCCATGGAGCCCATTCGTATGAAACTGACTGTAAAGACTTTGGCTCCATGGCGATTAAACTGTATTTGTGTGGTCTGAGCGCCATTCACTTAATAATGTGCGCTCGGACCTGAGCTATCTGGGGATATGTTACATGTCTGTGTTTTATGTAATAAATGTGACTTTATGTATTTTAAAGTGTTTTGTGTCTCTTTGCAACCATGTGCTTAATGGAGTCTTGTGTCTGTACTGGGAGATAATTGAATTACTTATCTCCAGGATAGAAGACTCTGAAACTGGTTTGGGCCAGAAAGCCATGCTTCATTTAGTCACAAAGGACTTTTTACTAACTTTTGAACCCCTTGTCTGATTTGTGCCATTTTTGAATATGTTGTTCCCCTGAATGGATTGATTGAGAATATGTAATTTTATGTGAATGTGATGTATGGTTTTGGAGTTATGAAAGTTGGGTAGAAAGTATGTTTTAACTGTTTGTATAATTGAGTTTCCTCTCAGGATAAGGGGAGGGAATATGTGGGATGTAACTGTGATATGATTGGTTGTTTTATCCCTC